CTTCCACCAAATTGTGACTTCGTTTTCCCTCTTTAAATACAACAACTGAAATGATTTGGCTCGTCCACTTGCTTTCGTCTCATTATCATCTTACTATTATATATGTTAAGTAAATTTGTATACATACATACATACACGTATATATATATATATATATATAGAAAGAGAAAGAGAGAGAGAGAGAGAGAGAGAGAGAGAGAGAAATATTACATTGCTATCCTTTGTTTATGGTATGTTCATTTTATGCAAGTTTCACGAAATGAGATGAAATTTTACCTTTTAATAAAATCTAACAAATCGATTTTAACATCATTGCGTTTCAAAATTTCCCCTTGTCTTTCTTTTTTTCCACCCCCTCCTCTTTTTTTTTCCTTTTTCTTTTTTTTTTTTTAATTTTTTCGTATTCGTTGGTTTTTCCTACCTTCCTTTTCTTCTTCTTCTTCTTCTTCTTCTTCTTCTTCTTCTTCTTCTTATTCTTGTAATTTATCGGAGATCAGTCAAATATTATTGATTTATTTATTATTTTATTTAGATAAGATCTTTTTGAGATATACTTCGTGAGATATTAATATTAATAAAAATAAATGCAATATAAATTTCAAAAGTGTTATTATCTTTTATCCTAGATCATTAGAAATAATACGTAGTAAAGTTATATCTGTACCGTCTCGTATAACGTTAAGAGATAGACTGAGTTTATCTGAAGGTGATCGCCCGATGTTAATGATCGATCGATAACTTTGTTTATCTCTTTGACATTCCTTTTCTTTTATGTATATTTACAATCGCATTATATACATTCGAGAAAGTAGAAAGGAATAATATCCAAGATTAATGCCCATCAAGAACATTGAGATTAAATATATATATATATATATATATATATATATATATATATATATATATATATGTATTCTTACTGCGACATCATTTTCTAATTTATAAAATTCAATGTACTTATGCATATTGAATGAATTATTATTTTAAATAATATGATCTTTTATATAAAATGTATTTATTATATAATCTTTTTCTTCCTTTTGTTTTTAGTATTTTAATACGATTTATTGTACAAATTCAGAATGAATTATTATTTTAAAATCAATCATCATCAAGTATATATGCATATATATATATATATATATATATATATATATACATGTGTGTGTATGCATATGCATGTGTGTTTGTGTGTGTGTGTGAATGTATCATCATTGTGCATATCATAGTTTCCTTGTACATATACCCATATGCATAGATCTAATTATGCAAATTAAAATTATTAACTATGATAAATCGTCATCGTGTAATAATTATGCATGATATCGTAATTTTGCTTTTCATATGATTCAATCTCTTCAATAAAAATGAAATATATTATTATTTGTAATAAATCTTGATTGATTAAAAATTGCAGATATTATTCGTTTTATATTACACATTGTTCATCGTACGAGTTGCAGTTAAATTATTATTAAAGGATAAATTCATATTTATTGACGATATTGTACGAAATCGATAAATTATGAATACGTCGTTTCGATAAAAAAAAAAAAAAAAAAAGAAAAAAGAAAATAGAAGGAAGAAGGAAAAAACGAATCAATGTAAACGATTAATCGAAGGAAGTAGCCATTTTATTGAAATACCCCGAAGCTAACGAAATACCGTGTCTCGATTGAAGCGAGATCATTCGTCGCGCCGCAAGCCAAATCCCTTTTCATCTAAATCCGATGGCCACAGAGACCCTTTGGAGATTCAACCGAGCCGTTAACGTGAAATCTCGTGCACGCTCAATTACATTCGAATGAGCCACGAATGACCAAACGAGAGAGAGCGAGAGAAAGAGAGAGAGAGAGAGAGAGAAAGAGAGAATAAGATTATTCTCGAGTCTATCAAAATAATCGGCAAATTCTATCTCCTTTCTATATAATTTTCTATAAAAATATTATCTTGTAATAATATATTAAAAAAAAAAAAAAAAAAAAAAAAGAAAGAAAGAAAAAAGAAGAAGAAAAATAAAAAATATCAGCTTATGTAATTATAACGTAAATTAACATTTAATACATAAACAATTATGATCGTATAAAATTTTTTCTTTCTTTACTTCTCTACTCGATAGATATAAAAATTGAATTGAAATAAATTTTATTAAAATTCTACTTTTTCTTCTTTTTTTCCTTTTTCTTTTTCTTTTTTTTTTTTCTTTTCTTTTTTTTTTTACATGATTCATACAAATATTTCATTGATATACGATTTCGAAGTTTCATCGAATTTGTAAGTAGTGCAATTTTATTTATTATTTTTTTTTTTAATTTTTTTTATTTTTATCTATTCTATTTTTCTTTTTTTTTTTTTACATGATTCATACAAATATTTCATTGATATACGATTTCGAAGTTTCATCGAATTTGTCAGTAGTGCAATTTTCTTTTTTTTTTTTATTCTTATCTATTCTATTTCTTCCGTTTTTTCTTTTTTTTTTTTTTTTTTTTTTTTTTACATAATTCATACAAATATTTCATTGATATTCGATTTCGAGGTTTCATCGAATTTGTCAGTAGTGCAATTTTATTTATTTTTTATTTTTTTTTTTTTTATTCTTGTCTATTCTATTTTTTTTCTTTTCTTTTTGTTTTTTCCTCGACAAAACATTCCACGTGATTGTCATGCGTTACTTATACATTAAAAAAAAAAAAAAATAATAATAATAATAATGAAAAATTCTAAATATATCTGAATACATTTATCCTTACGTTACTATATTTACTATCGAAGTATCAGCTATCTATTTGACTGTCTACTAAGATGTAGGTCCTAATGGTACGGTCACTAATGCTAAATTATTCGAGATTATAGCTTGTATCCATTACCGACAGATACACATTATACACATTTACATACACACACACGCACATATACACACATACATACATACACGTAATACCTGTTCGCGAGTCATAAACTTCCGATCGGACAAGTACGTAGGACACGAGAATGATGTCGCGATGTTCTTTATTTCTTAACTTGAACATTTTAAGAGTATAACGACGGGACAAGTTTATCTAAAAACATTGTAAAATGTAGTGAAAGGTCAATGAAAAAACTTGAAGAAGAAAATGAAAGAAAACTTCAAGTGAAACTTTTGAGTTACTCCGACCATAAAGAAGGAGGAAAAATGAAATGAGAAAAAAAAATCTGCTCGTCGTATTTATCTAACTTTATTTTTATACTTTTATCCTTTTTTTCTCTTTTCGATTTTTTCTTTTTTTTTTTTTTCTTTTTTTTTTCTTTCGTTCTAAAAATAACGAGATTGATGAGAAAAGCTTTCGCGTGAAAATGAAAATAATTATGAAAAGTGGTCTAATATAAAGATCCTAAAGTTAAATGTAATTAGAAAAGAAGTATTACTTTTTGGAAATATATATATATATATATATATATATATATATATATATATATATATGTCTATTTATTTTATTTTATCTTTTTTTTTTGATGCTTGTCGTTATGAAAAAAAAAAAAGAAAAAACGAAAAAAAGAAAGACAGAAAAAGAAAAAAAAAATCCGATATTACAATATCCAAGAGTATCAAAACGTAATATATCAGGATAAAAAATATATGACTTATTGTTGATTCACTATCATAATTGATTTGAGATCCTTTACTCGAGTAATTATTATATAATAAATAAAATATTATATAAAACTTTCATCATATCAGTTGAAAATCAAAAGGATTTTATTTAATGTTATGAGAAACCAAATACTATATAAATTATTAAATTAATTAAATCGAACGTGTCAAACGAATCGAATAAAATTTTATATTTCTCTTTGATGAACAATTTTCTAGGGAGAGAGAGAGAGAGAGAGAAAGAGAAAGAGAGAGAGAGAGAGGGAGAGAGAGAGAGAGAGAATGAGAGAATGAGAGAAAGATTTAATTATGCCAATAAAAGCGTTCATTTATTTTCTCGTCAAATATTTCTACATAATTATTATTAAAATAAATATGAGTACCCGTATCTAATATATATATATATATATATATATATATATATATATATATATATATATATATATACATATCTAAATATATTGTTGTAATTAATATTACATATAATTTAATATTATTAATAAAACATTATACTTTTCATTTTCTATTTCGTCATAATAATAATAAAAGAAAATCTACGAAGAAACCTTAAGAAATATTTCGAGTGGTGTTACATATTATTCGTCTGGATGGATATTTCAAATACGAAAAAGATGATTGGCTAGAAGACTATAAAAAGTTTTCTTTTCCGATATTCCTGAGAAAAAGAGATTCGACCAAGGAACAAGAATTTTATCGTCGTCCTTTCCAATATAAAACGAGGGCCACTGTTTTCACGAGTTCTTCTTTCTTCGACACTTTTGATATGTCCTTTCTTATCGATACATCGAACATTTTTCGAGAGAGCGAAAGAGATAGAGAGATATAAAAAGCGAGAGAGAAAGAGAAAGAGAAAGAGAGAGAGAGAGAGATAGTTATCTTTCTCTCTTTCACGATTAAAAAGTTACTTTATTTTTTGACAGAAATTTGGGAATGCTTATTGAATTTTTGTAAAATATTATTTACAAATAAAATGTATTTACTCTCTCATTTGAAATCCATTTCAATTCTCCATTGACAAGCAGTGCGACGTACAATGAGCCGTAATGACTATTCCAACGTTTACCTGAAATCGACGTAAATTTTCAACCCTCGAGGTATATATATTTAACAGTAACGCTATTCACAAATGTACCCTTGATTACCATCAATGTTGCTGACATAAACTTTAATTAAAGTACCTATTGTACACGATTACCACATTGATTTCCGTATTTCAACGATTTCGATCCGCCTATTTGATATAAACATTAATTTCTCGTATTTATAAACGTATAAAAAAGAAAGGGTGGCGGTGGGAGGCGGGGGGAGAGGGTTAAATAATGTACAACCTGACTGAAAGAAAAATCACTCTGAAAATGAGAAAGAGGAGGAAACAAAAGGAGATTTATCGAAGAGAATACTTTGATATGATATATATTGAATGACATGAAAGAAAAAGAAAAAAAAAATAAAACAAAAAAGAAAGAAAAACAAAAAAGAAAGAAAGAAAAAAAGAGAAATATAAAATTTCAAAGAAAGAAAAAAAGAATAGAAAAACACGAATAAAATAATTCACTCAATAATTTGAGATAGGATGTAATGGGGGCGGGGGGGGGTGGAAGAAAAGAATCTTTCGTTTCATTTCACGATGATAATTAAATCCGATTGATCAATCCGAGAATACAAATTTTTTTCTTTTTTTCGTATTTTTTTTTTTTTTTTTTTTTTTTTTACTAACAGCAAAAATTTAGCGAACGTTATCGTTTGGTTGATATATTTAAGGATACAAAATATGGCCAGGAGGAAAAAACAGAGAAAAGGAAAATCTGACGATACTATAATAAAATAATCGCATTTGATCCTAATCAAGGTAGTTTAATCTATCGAGATAAAAAATTTATTGCGTTGAAAGAATAATGAGTTTTAAAAATAAAAAAAAAAAAACAATGGAAATCTTTAGAAAAGATTTAAACGTATCGATGGATTTATGAATAAAATGATAAAGTTATGGTGTATAGACGATGGAGAAAAGAAGGAGGAGGAGCAGGAGGAGGAGAAGGAGGAGACGAAGAAGGAAAAGGACAAAGAGGAAAAGGAAGAGGAAGAGGAAGAGGGATGAGGGAAGAGAGGATGATCCCTAGAAGCCTTCTGGCTGATCTAATTTGCTTCGAGT